GCACTTCATAATATTAATTTGAACATCTCCAGCTGATATTTATAAAAGTAGCCTATCATCAGAGTAAATGTAGATTGGTAGATAGTAGACTTGAAACTCCATTCCTTATTTGAACTCAACTTGATTTACCTTGGCTTATTTAGATAGTTTGAGCTGAGCGCTAAAGCTCACAAAGTTCAGAATACTAAGGAGGAAAGATTTGGAGAAAGACCTGTGCATAGAATAGCAGATGATAATTTGCCCCCTCTGTCTCTGTCTTCTGGAACCATTACTTTGTATAGCTAAGCTCTGAGTGTTGGAGTCCAGATATAAAATAATTGACAGTGCATTTTCATTTGTATGTATATGCTGATGTCTACATGTGCAATATATTTACCATAGTTTGAGTTTCTAGTTTTTTGCACTAAATAGAGTACATAAACCATACCATAGTTTATTGCGTTTTGCTATAAATCTGGGGATTTCTTTTTTGGATGAAGTCTACTATGTACATATTAAGAGTCAGTGGGCATAACATTCTACAGAAGTTTGACATTATGTATGCTATGCTAGTCTCCTCTGTTACATATGGCAGAGTTTGAACATTATCAGTGTTTTTTTAATGAAAATCTTTTACATCTTGAGTTTGTAATTTAAATTGGCATGTCGAATGTGTCTCAAGTCAGGCAGCTGTCTGTTTCGGCTTCAGTTTGCCCTACAGATCAGTAGATTGAGAACCAGCAGTGCCATAGCTCTCTCTGGGAAAGAACAATTAAAATTAAATTAATGAAAAATTAAAAATTGTAAATGCTGTGAATGCTAATGTTCGAATGAGGAGGAAATGGGAGTCTGTTCACTTCCTTTGCTTCAGGAAAGGCACACACAGTGGCAGTGGAGGCCTTAGAATAGATTTTTAGAATACAGCTTCATTATTTCATATATACTATGATACAGCTTCTTTTCTCTTCAGTACAGTTCTTATTTCTGTGGACTTAATTCTGATGCCTGCTTTATGGTATTATGGATCAATTGAAAAATAGAATTTGTGGAGTATGCTTATAATTTATGTTTTAGATTCCATATACATCTTTAACTCTGGAGATGGCTGACCAGGGTTGGGTGTGCTAGTGCACACCTGTAGTCCCAGACATGGGAAGCTGAGGCAGGAGAATCACAAATTTAAAGCCAGCTTGGTTGACAAAACAAACCTTGATCTCAAAAGATCCTCTGCCCAAAAAAATGAATGAATAAATCTTTATCAGGTAAAAGGTCATTACCTTTTACTGCTAGAATCAGGATACAAAGGTATCAGGTTATTCATATCAATTATTTTTATTTTTTTCTTAACAGTTTGCTTGGTTTTTAGTGAACAGACTCAAAGGTTTTTTAGTCTTGTGGGGTGTTCAGCAGTGTGGTCTAGATGTTAATGATTTCCATAGTATCTATCATGGTTTTTTGTTTTTGTTTTTGTTTTTTGGTCTTTTTGAGACAGGTTCTCCCTGTAGCTCCAGCTGTCCTGGAACTCACTATGTAGACCAGGCTGGCCTTGAACTCACAGAGATCCACCTGCCTCTGCCTCCCGGGTGCTGGGATTAAAGGCAAGCGCCACCATGCCTGGCTCTATCATGTTTTTTTTTGTTGTTTGTTTTTTTTGCTTTGCTTTGCTTTGATTTGATTTTTTGCTTTGACTGGGATCATATTACTATGAGGGCTCAAGTCAGCCTTTTTTTAATCTTTTTAAAAAAATTTTAAAAACTTATTTATTTAATAACCACATACTTAAAAGAAGCATTTCATTACAATAGCATTTGTCTACAGCCATACCACCCTGAACACTCCCGATCTCATCTATCATGTTTTTTAAAGCACAATTCTTTACTGTTTTCTAAGAGACTCCCAGAGAATTCCTTTGAGGACTATTGGCCAGGTCATTTCATAGTTGTATATAAATAATTAAGTAATTATCTAATAAATGTTGCTAGTTTTTTTAGTCTATTGATTTGTTGGTTTTTCTTACCGTTTTTTGTATTGGAATTGAGCTTAGCAGAGTCATGCTTCTGACACAGTGAGCAGGTTTTATGTGGTAAGATTATTAAGCCTGCTAAAACTGAATGGTAATTCCCAAATTCTTTAGATCCCCTCCAGTAATCTGAGTTCCATGCATTAATACAGCCAGTCTTTACTTCATCAAACACTCCACTCCCACACTGTCTTTTCTGTTCTCCCTACTTCCACCCACTCTACAGCTGTGGCCTTTCAGTGGGGGAGGAGGAGAGCCATAGGTGAAGACAGCTGGATCATGGACACGGGCTTTGTGACTTCATATTTTCATTCTTTTGCTACTGAAGAAAGATTAAGCAGACTCGTTTCAAAAGAGCAGCTGACACTACCCTCACAGTCAGTAATGACGTCAGGCACTATAATTCTTTGGAGTTGGGAGATCTTCTTTCCTATATGTATGGCAGAGGTCCAATTTGTCAGACTAGGCACAAAGTGGGTGAATGTAAGTTGGATGCACACCAGGTCTCCATACTAAACGGGTTCTTACCCTGTCTTGCAGACCTGCTCCTCTCTGTGGAGCCATTAGCCATTGGGTCTTTTCTGGATTGAAGCAAAGTAACTTGCAGCTAATGCAGGTGAGCTACATTGTGAGTAGTTGACCTGCTATGTGTAAAGGTGGTAGGTAGTGCTGCTGCCAACCACAGGCCTGCTGACAGTGGTGGCAGTGTCAGGGTTACAGCACTCTGTGCCCTGTAGAGAAGGAAATGACTGGAGAAATCTCTTTGGTAACAATCAGGATTAAAAAAAGAATTTCTTAGGTTTATATGTCATTTCTTGGGATGAAACATGCTTCTTTTTATAAATCAGGAGGCTTGAAACCTAGAAGAAGGTATTCTTCTGGCACTAGAGGTGGAGGAATATCCAGTTGTTGGGGTTTTGATTTGTTTAGTTTTTTGAAATGTATAAACTCAAAGGATTCAGTTTTCTTTTTGTTGATTGAGTCTTGGTCAATGGAGAAACCTTTTGTGTTATGGAGGACTGTGTAGAAACTTCCAGTAGAAATTCTCAGATTCTTTATTCTGTAAACATCTACATATCTGTGAATATTGAACCTGTCAGTATGTGTTCTGAAATGTGAACTCAGCCGGAGAGGGCTGTTCAGAGGCACTGCAGTGTACACAAGGGCAGAGGGGGACTAGCTGCTCCAGATCTCCGCATTTCTGCCAGAATCATTTGGACTGTTGGGTTATTTCAGGTGTTCTGCCTAATAAAGTGAAATGGAAGGTGAGTACTGCCTGCCCACAGCATCCTCTTCCCTGCAGAAGGCTTCTGGCATATAGAAATGGCTTGACTCTTTTGCCTTCTGCCCATTTATGCATAGGGTCCCTATGCAAAGGAGGCACTGGGCATATCCAGTGGTCTTTGCTATTTAAATATGGTTTTCAAAGCACAGTGTGAGCTCTTATGATATAAGAGGTCTGATACAATTTGTAAATCTTGAAATCAAATAGATGTGACCAACATTTTTTTCTTCATTGTTTTAGAACAGAAAAAAATAGTTTGGCTACATTGTCATAAGCCAGTAGCTCTTTGGGAATTCAGCATCTGAGACCCCAGCTTGATCTTCGGTGCTATAAAATACACTAAACCTGCATCATCCCCCAATTTCAGCATTATAGTTGATAAAGTGTTCAAAAAGAGTAAAGTATGTTTTAAGACCCCCCACATTTATTAAATTGTTCTTTTAATCTTGTTTGTATGCATTGTTTACATACCAGTATGCAACCTACAGTGTTCTGTGGGTCACAGGCAAAGAAGATTGCAAGTCTACTGTTTCCATTGTGGATAACACTGTATTCCTTGTTCTGCTCTCATCATTAGCTGTCTTTGTCTTGCATCCCCTTTAAATCTCTCTCTCTCTCTCTCTCTCTCTCTCTCTCTCTCTTCCCTAGCTCACTTTTCTTTTGTCTCAAGTTAGCACTTACATGGCTTTCTCTTTGTACCTACTGTATTTCTAGCCTCAGAGTCACCCTGGCTGTTGTGAGAACATTTTACTTAACATTTAATTTGTAGTTGAATGTACTCCATTTGCTTTGAAATGAATGCTAATTAGCAGGGTTATCTCTCCCCTTAATGTTCCAGTCTCCAAATTTGAAAAAGGAAGTAGCCATGCTTTACTAGTGTGCGTTCCCCCTCCATTTCTTATGTTTTCCAAATGTCAGATGCTGTAGTAAAATTTTGGATATAATTAAATCACTGAGTCCTATTTGTACATAGCATGTCTTAAATACTGGGAACTGAATTTTAAGCAGAAATCAGTGTATCATTGAATTCTGACTTTGTATCCCCCGTGGTGGTATTTAAGGCATGCATTTGTAGCTGTAGTTTACTGTATTCCATCGTAGCCCCATGCAGGTAGGTAGAAGAGGCTATTTTCTTATAACACCAACACAAGACCTGCTAATTTCCTAGAATGTGACCAAAAATAGAAATCATGCTTCAAGCAGTTCAATCTACTACAAATAAACAGCTTGAAGAACCCGTGTTTTATTTGAGTGGCCGAGAGAGAGCGCCTGCCGAGCAGCAACCTTGTCATGTCAAAACTTTAATTCAGTCATCTTCAGGCAAGACTGGGTGTTTTGCATCACAGAGTCACACATTCATTGCTCTTCTCTATCTGATTTTTCGCATTTTTTTGCTCTTTATGTTGAAGGGTCTCAGCAGTGAATTTTATTTTAAATTAGAAATGCTACAGGGGTGCTTCAGAAAAGGGGGAGAAACAGAAAAATTTCAAATCTACAATTCCATGAAAATTAAGGGCCCTATTTCTGTACCTCATTTTGTTTGTTGGTTATATCAGAGGGCATGTACAGCAGAATTGCAAATGACTATTAATTTTAGTGATTTGTATCTCTAAACAGTATCTCTAAACTCTCTAACAGTATGATATACATGTATTTGCTAATGTTAAATGAGTTTTCCTCTAATTTTGTGTGCATTTTCCCCCCTTTTCCACAAAGGCCTTATCTCTTTGGAGCGGGGTGTTTTTCCATAAGAGCTCCATGGTGAGTTCCAGTTTAGTCCCGCATGCCTAATTCATTTGCTGTACTCTCAAAAAGTAGCTCTGTTTTATAGTTTTGTTTTCGGTTGCATGGCCTGATCACAGATAGATGTACCAGATTACTGAATAATTAGACACGAGTTGATATTTAAGCTTTACAAAAGCGTTTCTTTGGTTTTACTTCAATCCTTCAAAAATTTTCCTGCAAAAATTTATAGATGTATATTTTATAAAAAGAAGGTGGAAGAACTCTGTCATTGTGCTGGCAGATAGGACATGTCTGACCCCCCAGTTTGGAGTTTTGAGTATGGTAGCAATAGAAGTTCCCTATGTATCATGCTCAGTATTAGAGGATGCAGTAGACTGTCTTAAAGATAAATATATTGAGGGTATACAAAAAATGTGCCATAAAGTTTCATTGTATTTTTATTTGGTCCCAGAAAGAACCAAGTTGAACTGTATTTTGAACAGATTAGGTATTTAAAGAACTCCAAGATAAGGAAATATGTATTTGCAATAAAACTCTTCCATGGCATTATTTGAATCATTAGTACCCATTCACAAGGACTTAGTTATTTAGCAACTTCTTTTACGACAGTATGTAGAATACTGCTTTGTCAGCCTGTGGCATGATAATCATAGAAAAGAATATATTTCATATGAAGTACTTTCATGTGAAGTTGTAAGTTAGAATGTGTTAATTTGATATAATGTACTTTAATAATTAAAAGTCAGGGTTTCATAATAAAACTGCCTGGGTCTTAAGTACCAGGACATACTTTTACTAGCTCTATGATCTCAGATAATATCTGAAAACCAGTTTCTTGTTTTCCTTATTTATAAAATGAAATCGGCAGCAGCACCTGCTTTGTGGGTTCATGTGAGGATTAAACGAACTGTTAACTCTTATAAATGCATTTCAGAATGTCACAGTGATACATCTGTTCCCTCTTCCAGGGCTGTGGCTGGACACCCTGTCTGAAAAGAAGCTTCTTTAAATTAAATCATGCAGTTCACTTTGAGACAGAGTCTTACTACACAGCCCTGGCTTGCTTGGAACTACCTATGTAATGCAGGCTGGCCTCTAATTTGCAGCAGTCTTCCTGCCTCAGCCTCCTGAGAGCTGGCATTACAGGCATGTGCTACCATGCTTAACTACATCTTAGTTTTAAAAACATGTAAGGCAGGGCTGAAGAGATGGCTCAGCGGTTAAGAACACTGGTTGTTCTTGGAGAATACCCGGGTTCGAATCCCAGCACCCACATGGCAGCTAAAAACTATCTGAACTCCAGTCCCAGGGGCTCCAACAGCCTCTTCTAACCTCTGCGGACATTGTACAACATGGGTGAACTTATCTACATGCAGGCAATACACGCATACACATAAAATAAAAATAATAAATAAAATTTTAAAAAAACATGTAAGGCGAAAGGAAGTCTTGAGACATGTAATGTGTGTCAAGCTTCATTAAATTAGAACACTTGAGTCTTCAGAAATCTGTGTAGTCCTCATAATTGCTATGAAGACTTGTTTATTGTGTCTTATTAATATTAAGCAGCATTCTGTCGGGGTGTGTGCTGTATGCCTGGAGCTTTGGCACTGGGGAGGTTGATGCACGAAGATTGCAAGTTTAAATCCAGCCTGAGCTATGTAGTGATTTCCTTTCTCAACAAAATAAGTTCTTGAAAGTTGATGATTGTCAGACAGATTATTGTCAGTGTTCCTATACCCCAGGAATAATAATTTTCATTATCATGTAGGAATACGTAACATAAAATGAATCACCATCAAATATTCCTTCTTACAGTTCAGCATCACAATTGGGACAGAATTCATGAAACTATTTTTAAGAAATTCAGGGCACACAAAGACAAATCCTCCAAAAGTTTGTCTGTTTTGTTAACCATATTTCTTTTAAGAAGCAGTAAGATGCATGGAATTTTCTGGCTTGGAGAGAGCAGTGCATTTTAAATGCTACATCTAAAATATGATTAAATTTCTTTGTGTATTAAATGGGAATTAAATTCCATTTTAAGATGAATTCCTCATTCTAAGTACAAAGCAAAGAGTTTTAGCATGTTAATAAAGATTGAAGTTTTCACATGGAACTAAAGATGGAGTAACAAATGTTGTCTGTTAAATAAGAAAAGTCCATTCCCCCAACAGCTTACGTGCTCCTCACGTTTAAGCAAAAGCACTTGTCAACCAGAAATGATTTGAGGTTGAAACAAGATTAAAAGAGCCAGATTAAAGAAAGGGATATGTGAAATATAGTAGACTTTTAAATCACTGCCTGTCTTTCAGAAGGCTGCTTTGTGGTTTGTTTGATGCCATCGTTAGCTCACAAGAAACTCGTTTTTAGTCACTTATACTGGACTGAAAGGTTCTCCTTTAAAATACGTTACTTTACCAGGGTGCATGTTTTTCCCATTAAGATCTTAATGAAACCTCAAATTAAGGCAGCAAAATGAATATAAATTTGACAACTTCTTCCATGTTGTTTATAAGAGCGCCTTTGTTCAATCGCTTTTGCTAGTTTTCCATGATATTTAGCATTCAGCTCGAGAATGTTTTTATTTACTATTCTAAAATAAAACATCATGCTAAATAAGTATGTTTATAGTGCTTCCAGTTGTAAGGTAATATTTGTAGTTTGGATGAAAATGAAAAATTTACAGGTTCTTTTAAAATGTAAATTTCTTATAATTTTCAAAAATTAGTTTCAAGTTACAACATTTGTACTTAGTTAAGATTTTTGCTTTGGATATGTCACAATTTGTAATAATTCTTTATTCTTCACCAAAGGGCTTTAAGTCTTTAGATGCATATAGTTACAGATGAGTCTGTTTTAAAGTAGCATCTTTCCCTTTGATATCAGAATAGGCTTGTTGGGAATTAAATTGTGCAGGCCATCTTTGACAGCATTTGTCAGTTTAGACATTCTTTTTGTGATATAGGTTTATTTAGGATATTTATTTGACTTTGAATGACAATAGAAAACAATGCAAAAGAAATATCCATGTAGTATACTTATTTAAATACGAGAGTTTAAAAAGAGGTATTTCTAACATGAAATTTTATAATTGATTTTTTTAGCTTTAAAAAATTTTAGTTATTTGGTTTTGGTTTTTTTTTTTTTTTTTTGAGTCTCACACTGTAGCCTTGGCTAGCCTGGAACTTACTAAGTGGCTAAGACTGGCCTCGAACTCATAACAGTCTTCCTATCTCAGCATCTTGAGTGCTTAAAACTGAATTTTGATTTCAAAATTCAAAATTTTGGTTTCTTATTACAAATAAGAAACAAGTATTAGACTATTAGTGTGGGTATAGTACTGGATTTTAACAACTCTTTCTAAGTTTCTTTTCAAAAAATAAATATATACATAGCAGACAAGTGATTCCATACAAAAATGCCCCTTAGCGGTAAGTTGCCTTTGTATTACTCATAATTAATCTCAGAAGAAAATTAAAATTTATATACCAAATTATAGTTAGAGTTGTAATAGTGTTGTAATAAACATTATTCAAGAAGACTTGACTGAGTTTAGGTAGCCCACATAGTCTATAATCCCATCTTTTTAGAATATTTGAACTGTTGCAGTTTCACTTTTGGAGAGAGTGTGCACCTGAGGAGCGTCTTCTTCCTGCTTCCACATTTTTGTAAATCTTTTAGACCTTTAAGAATAATTTATGGCAGAATAAACAGATTGGGGTAGATTGTGAATATTTTACTTATTTAAAATAGGATGCTTCTGGTTGCCTCTCAAGTCTGATTTTAGAAAATAAAATTTAGAGTCAGAAAAAACTAAATTCTATTGAAAAATCTCATCCTAGAGAAGACCGTAGAGAAAACTATTTTTTTTTTAATCAGGAGGTCATTACACCAAGTACAGTTCTTAATATGTGTTTACACTGAAATTCAAATGCTGATGTTTTACATATGAATTTGAAAGGAAACCAGTGGTGCTTCTGTCTGAGTTAGCTCCTTCCATGCTGTGCCCTCCTAAGCACTCTGGCTACCTTGCTGTTCAGTACGCTGCCCACTGACCCACTGCTTGTGCCCTCGCTGCATACATGGCACAGTTATCTGGATGAGAGTCATTGTTCAGGCCTCTTTTTTTTTTTTTTTTTTTGGTCTTTTTGAGACAGGGTCTCCCTGTAGCTCCAACTGTCCTGGAACTCACTATGTAGACCAGGCTGGCTTTGAACTCACTGAGATCCGCCTGCCTCTGCAGTGCTGGGATTAAAGGCGTGCGCCACCACGCCCAGCATTGTTCTGTATTTTTAAGAAGACAGCTCTAGAGGTTTGGGTTTGTTTTTGTTTCTGTTCTTTTTCTTTTCTTTCTCTTATTTTCAGTTGACTGTGGGGGAAAAATAAGAAAAATACAATAGGTTAGTCTAGATGGATAGCAGTTTAGTAAAAGGCGATGAGAGAAAGGTTCAGGACTTTAATAGACTTTCTGAACAGTTTGGAAATGGAGGGATGTTAATATCTCCACCTTTCCCATTCTGTGATTCAGTGTTGAAGCCTTTTCTTAGAGGAAATGATGAAGTTAAGCTTCTGCTTTTCATTTGACACCTTATTTGTTCATTTTGCTGTTTGTGTTGTGCATTTTGTTTTCTCTTTGTTCATTTGGATGGATGCACTTAGTACGTGGGATGTCTTAAGATTGTTATTTTTCCTTGATATGGTAAATGTTGGGTTGTTCCATTTTTCTTTTTTGTTTTACTCAAAATTTAAGCCAAATTTAAAAAGAATGTTGACTTCCGTATGAAACCCTTGATGTAGTAGACTCAGGAGAATGTCAGGAGGATGAGCCCTGGGACTGCTAGTGTGCTTTGTTCTCATGAAGGATGTTTGAAGCAAATGGATGAGTCTATGCAATCAATCTGGTTAAACTTCTGCACACCAATAAAAACTGAAATACTATTTTATATCATTTCTTATCAATTTAATAATTGAAAAAATGTTAAGTAAATAAAGTGAACTTCTTTACACCTTCACGGGATCCTTTTTAAATTTGCAAATGCTCTCTAGTGGGATTTGTTAAGATCCTTTTCAGAGGAGAAAGATGTTGAGAGGAAGCCAGAAAAAGAGGTTAATATTACAGGACTTTGCTGTGGGGTCAGGTCGGCAGTCTATAAATCTGCACCATTTACAGGGCTAGCCCTTTTCTGTTCTATTACTTGTGTAAAATTTTTCTGTCATTTTTTCTTTCTGTCAACAAAAGGTTATTCTGTGATAGAAATAGTCTTGGTCACTGTGGAAAAGTTCACGTGTAGCCTGTGCCAGCACACATTAGAAGAAAGGCCCGTTGCTTTCACCAAGCATTCTTGAACCCAGGTTTTTTTGTTTGTTTGTTTTGTTTTAATTAGGGTTAGGAACAACTTGAGCCAAAGTTAAAAAATATCTAACTTTGACTAGCTCACGTAGATGTTTTATTCGTGGCATTCTTTTCATTACCCCGTTTCTGCAAGATTTATATGCACACTCACATTCTTTTGTATTTCTGTTTTGTTTAAATGACAAAATCTTAGCAGATGTCCATTGATGATGGAAATAAGATGGTCTAAATGTATTCGCCCAGTGTGAGCGCTCCTGGTCAGCATGTGACAGGTAATGAGTAGCAAGTTAGTTGTAGGGATAAAAAAAATTTGGATCTTGTTCAACTTGACTTTTTTTTATTAATGAGATTGATTAAGGTCCTAATAAACCTGTTGGCACAGGTTTATTGGACTGTGAGATAAGGAGTCCACAGAGTGTTTGCAAAGACTCCATTTATGTCCTATGGTTTTTTTGTTTTGTTTTGTTTTTCTTGATTCTATTAGAAAAGTGGTGGTTTGACCCAGTACTATTATTGTTATATTTTATTAATTTTATGTGTATGAATGTATTGCCTGCATGTATGTAAGAGCACCTGTGTCATGCAGTGCCCATGGAGTCAGAAGGTGGGAGCGGAGTCCCCCGGAACTGGAGTTACAGACAGTTGTTAGTCACCATGTAGGTGATGGGAATCAAACCTGGGTCCTCTGCGAGAACAACCAGTGCTCTTAGCCGCTGAGCCATCTCTCCAATCCTGGCCCAGTACTATGTTTAAGTCTGTTTAAAAGAATACTTTAGGGAACCATATCTTCTCTTAGAAATGGCATAGTCATTTCTTATTACATGATTAAATAATACCAACTACAACAGAAATCTAATTCAATAATTTATAAATTTGAACTTGTCCCTATGAAGCATGTTTATACAGTGCAGTGTCCTTGTTCCCTGATAGTGATTCTTAGTAAATGTATAGTCCCACAATTGCAAACACTTTCCAGAAAATTCTATAATGGGGATTGGGTATATAGCTCAGTCAGAAAAGTGCTGGCTGTGTAAGCAAGAGGACCAGAGTTCATATCCTCAGCATCCATGTAAAAAGCCAAGCACGATGTCCACACACCTGTAGCTTGAGCCCAGGGGAATGGGTTGGAGACAGGCAAATCCCCAGAGTGCCCTGGCCAGCCAATATAGACATCCAGTGAACTCCAGCCTCATGAGAGACCTGTCTCTGAAATAAGGATAGAAATAAGAATATAGAAAGTGACTGAGGAAGATACCTGCTGACTTCTGGCTTCCACACACATGCATACACACCCTGCCACACATGCAAACATACAGTCACACATATACTACACACACAAATTAAAATTAGTAATATTTTTTAAAAATTAAAAAGAATTCTAGGGTGGTTTCTTCTTCCTTCTTCCCCCTAGCCTTCCAAACCCCTAAGAATCACAATGGCAAGGGGACTTCACAGATGTCAGACACAGGAAGTTGTCAGCTCAGTGGTAGTAGTTTCAGTGATGGAATGAGAAGAGTTGAAGGATGAGATACATTCTAAGGTAATCCCCAGGAGAAGCAGAGCCGGAAGAGCAGTTCTGGCTTTGAGTCAGGGGAAGCTGCGTGGGTGCTGGCAGGGTGGAAGGAAGGTGCCTCCTCTTCTCTGCAAGTGGGTTACCATGGCAGAAGCAACTTTGAAAGGAAACTGTGGAACCACTTCTATAACTTCACAGAAACTTCTGAAAAGCCTTGCTCAGTGTCTTCATTCCTCTTTCTTGGCAATCTGACCATAGCTGCTTTGACATTTTCAGTGTGGATGTGATTTGTTTGGGGAACAATGTGATCAGTTAATGCTTGAAAGAAGCAGCTTTTTGTATATTGCAGTGTGTACAACCATGGATTTTGTTCATAGTGGAAGACCAGCAGGACCAGTCAGAGCAGCATCTGATCCAGACTTTTATAATTTTTTTAAGAGGAAAAAGTGTCAACACAGAAACCTCAGGAAACAAGATATATGAGCATGTGTCTCAAGTGCTCTAGGAACAGGGAACTGAGATCACCAAAGCATTCTCTGATTTTTGGACAATTTGGTGAGGTCTGTGGGCTGTAGAGCCCAGAAGGACTGCCTGATGAGTGCTGGGCAGCACCCCAGGGGCTTGCTAGCTGTCTCTGATGCAATGGGTTCTCCAGTTTGAACATACAGCAAAATCTCCCAGGATGGACAGTGTTTAAAAATTACGTTTGCACAGGCCGTTGCAAATTTTTGCTTTATTAAGTCTGGGATGGGGCCTGCCTAGTATTCAGAAATTTTCAGGTGGCATTACTAGTTAGAGACCAGACTTTGAGAACAAATATAATCCTTAACCCTACAAAGTAGACTTTACTATTTATATTATACATTCTAGCAGTCTGAGTCCTGAGTGGAAAAATAGCTGCAGTAAAAGTCATACAGCTAATAAATGGCAGTGGTGGGATTCCAATTCAGGTTTCTTGACTACAGACATCAGTCTTTTCTGTCCCATCATACTCTCGTAACAGATAATAGGAGAAGGTAAAGCGAGCAAAAGAAGTAGAAATCATATTGGTTTGCAGTGGAGACTGACTGCAGAACTGGACCTCGGGCTCCCACTTCAATGGACCCCCCCCCCCCCCCCCGAGGCTGTGGTCTTCAGTCTTGCTCTGAGAGGTTGTTTTCTGGCTTATGTATTAGAGAAGATATTCTAAGGTAGTTATGTAATTGCTAATGAGCATTGGGGAATTTAATAATTCAAAAGAGAACAGAAATGCCAGATTGAAAAGATGAAAAATCGAAATTAGAATCTGAGGGTGTGAAAATTTTTTTGTGGAAAATAAAGGGGAAAGTAGGTTCTTTTTAGTTGAAGTCATCTAAAATAACGACAGTTACTAAATGTATCCTTAGACACAGGAGAACTAAAACAAATTTACATTTGATGAGCTTTCAGTATTTAATTCTCTCCTGGTCTTTTTCCTGAACAAAATAGACAAGTCATTTTCACAAGATGAAGCAGGAGCAGCAGATGGGAATATCAGTGACTGTGATCACAGTGGGTCATTGTAGCAGTTCTCCTTGACGGTCTAATTCCGTAGCATTGTAGCTGACAGCGAAGTCAGGCTTCCTTCTGCATCATCCTCCCTTCCATGCATGCTCTATTTACTGTATGTTAATCCCATATCTGAGATGCCAGAATGAACTATTAATATTGGGAGATGTTTCTGCTGATACTTTTGCTTCACTTTAAAACCGCCAGTGAAATGCTATCCATCTGAAAAGAAGTGACTTAAATTCCACTACACATTATTTAGAGTCAAGTTTTTTGTTGTTACAGAGACAAGGTCTCACTGCGTTATCTAGGCCAGCCTTGGAACCCTGGCACGTGTCCTTCCTGCCTCAGCTTCTTAAGTAGCTGGGACCACAGGCATGTGCCCACACCCTTAACAAGACTTTTGAACTTTGAAATAACTCAATACATAGCCCCAATCATATCACCAATCATTCCTTGAGGTAAAATGCATGTCTGAATTGTAGCATCTGAACATTTAGTGGGGGTGAGAGGGAGTGTCTCATTTTCAGGAAGATCTTTCATGATCTGAAAGACTATCATTTCATCATGGTAATTTCTCAATGTCATTTTACTTTTAAAGCAAAGTTAAACCACCTCCACAAATTTCACCAAGCAAATCGATGGGCGGAGAGTTTTGCGTGGCTGCTGTCTTTGGAACTTCCAGGTCATGGTTTGCCAATAATGCAGGTCTGAAGCGAGAAAAGGGTATGTATTTTTTCTGATACTCAGATTTGCCATGTATGATTTTTGTCTGAAGGAAAGTTGCTAGGAGTTCCTCTAGAATAATTTTCAACCATATAGCCTTTACAAAAACAAAAAATTAGGTATACTTTTTCCCTTTTTTAAAAAAAAAATTATTTATTATTTTTAATTTATGTGTATGAGTGTATTGCCTGCATGTAGGATAAGTGTACCTGTGTCATGCAGTGCCCAAGGAGGACAGAAAGGCTGTCGGATCCCCTGGAACTGGAGTTATGGACAGTTGTTAGCTGCCATGTGGGTGCTGGGATTCAAACCTGGGTCTTCTGCAAGAGCAGTCAGTGTTCCTAACTGCTGAGCCATCTCTCCAGCCCCTACTTTTTCCCTTTCAATCAACATGTTTCTCTGTGACCACTTATCTTATCAAGAATAAAAACTATGCTCTCACACAAATGATAAATTTCCCACTGTCTGATTTTTTTGTCTTTTTTATGCTCAGTGCACATGTGATCTTGGACTGTCAGTTCTGTGTCCATTCTGTTACTTCCACGTTTTTCACAAACTCATTTCACACCATTGTCTCTGAAGTAGCAAAGGGAAAATACTTGTCTCTGATTTGCAGATGAGAACTTGAGATCAACAGATTTAACTAAAACCTCTACTTGGGTAGTGATGGAGCTTGAATCCATGTCTTCTAGTGCCAAATCTTGACTTTAAAAAAACAATTCTGCCACTTTTGATTTTTTTAAAATAGTTTTATTTATGTGTATGCATGTGTGTCTGTGTAGGGGTATGTACATGTGAGTGCAGTTGCCCAGGGATGGTAGAAGAGAATGTTGGGTCATTTGGATCTGGAGTTACAGGTAGTTGTGAACTGCCTGATGGGGGTGCTGGAAGCTGAACTCAGAGGTCCTCTACAAGAGTAGTAATCATTCTTAACCACTGAGCCATCTCTCTAGTTCCTCCCACTTTTTTTTTTTTTTAACATGGTGAAACAAAACAAAACAGCCTTAAAATATAAACAACAGTTGCCTATTACTGAGACATAAGGGTCACTTTTTATGGTTACCATTGCTCTTTGAATTGGTAGAGCCACTATGTTTTTAATCCTCACACTGATCACAGGATCAATACCTTGAATGTTTGTATAATTAATATTTGAGTACATGTGGGGTATTTTTGTTGTTGTTTTTCAGTTGTAGGGATTGAACCTAGGGCCTTTCCTTATGGTCTCTGTATAGAAGAGAACGCCTACATGCATAGACCAAGTATACAGTTTTGAGTGTTAGGTTTTTCCTGTGCATTACTTTATTATGATTCAATTAGGTCATAAACTGGGTTGCTCCCAGTGGGTGAGTTCTGCAGGATGTTTTGTGCCTGGCAAAGATGACTGTCCTCTCCTCACTATTGCCAGTCAGACTTCAGCCATTTTCCTGGCTATCACCTTTCAATGATCATTCCTCAGTAATAGGATCTGAGCCCAGCAGGTGCCTTCCCAAATGGGAGAGGACACTGTAGAGTGGGCAAGCCTCCTGCTTTCTTATCCTATCTTTAGTTTTTGTTGTTGCCGCCTTTGGCTTAATGATGCTATCGAAAGGACTTTTTGTTACTAGTTAAAACCTCTGCAAAGCTCGGTTTCAAATGCTTCTCCCTTCCGTCCTAATTACCCTTTGAGCTTGCTACTCCTTTGTGTCCCACTGCCTGGTCATTGGCCATTTTCTCAAATCAGCTGTAATTGATTCATCTGACATAAAGATAAGGTGACCCACCCAGCGTTCATAAGTGATCTTATATCCTCCTCGGTTTACTGTAAAACGTGAGACTTAGCACTGGACCTGCTTGGGCAGTGAGTACATGTGTCTGCTTTATGAAGTTGTTTGATTACATCCATATTCAGTGCTGGCCCTCGAAACTTGGCTGACCTTCCTCTTTCTATTGTGAGAGCCATTGAGAAAAGGAGTCAGAATTTGGTTGAGGAGAGACTTTAATTTTGTTCTTGTTCTTTCAAGTTCACAGGCAAATTGAGAGAAAACTAAAGAGAATTCCTTTCTACTTCTCACCCCACTGTGCTTAGCCTCCACCATTGAAATGCTGTGTTTATTTCAGCTGATGAACTCTCACAGATACATAATATGTTTTTCTTTGGTTTGTTCTAGATATTAGTTTCAAATTTTAAGTCTCTCTCTCTCTCTCTCTCTCTCTCTCTCTCTCTCTCTCTCCTCTCTCCCTCCCCGTGTGTGCATGCATGCATGCATGCATGAAGATGAATGTACAGGGGCCAGAACATGGTGCTGGTGTCTGGCTCTATCACTCCCTGCCTTATTCTCTTCAGAAAGCAAGCCCCAGAGTCCTGCTCTGCCCTCCCACAGTGCTGGAGTTTCAGGCATCTAGGACTATGCCCTGCTTTTTATGTGGGTTCTAGGAACTTGAATTCATGCCCTCAGGCTTGCACAGTAAGCACTCTTACCTGTTGAACCATCTCCCCAGCTACTGTGAGGAAATGGCTGAGCCGTAAGACTGATTGAAGCCCACAAGTAGTCTTCCATGCAGGTCATTTGGTATGACAATGGAATTCAGCCTTAGTGCATAGATTGCTCATTTTCAGGTAATCCTTCCGCATCCTACTCTATTCCATTCATTCTTCATAATATGGGGCAGATTACTTAGCAGAGAAATATGAACTCTTATATGATAGTGCTTAGCTGTATTAGAGTTTTGGTCATAATGTTATTCTTGAAACCAGTTGATTTACATTTGAAAGCATGATGGCATGTGCATTGGCATCTGATTATGAGAGCACCTTAAGACAAGGAGCAGATGCTGTTGGTCAAAGCCCTTGTCTTCTTTTCACGGTCTTTCAACAGTCGAACAGACGACAGGACCAATAATGTGTAAAAATCATGCTATGCTCTTTCTCTGCCGTCATCACATGACTAACTTCTTGTCCTCTGTTTGCAGATCAGTCCAAACAAGTTGTCGTAGAATCCCTCTACATTATCAGTTGCTATGGGACCTTAGTTGAACATATGATCGAGCCCCGGCCACTCAGCACTGCTCCCAAGATAAGTGATGATACTCCCCTGGAGATGATGACATCACCTCGTGCCAGCTGGACACTTGTTAGGTGGTACTCATTCCTCCTTCCCTCCCCCCTCTCCTACCTTCTCTCCCTCCCTCCCTTCCCTCCTCCCTCTTTCCTTCCATCTTTTCCTCCCTTTGGATATAAAAGATGAAACATGTATGCATACAACTGTGAAGTCTTATCACAGGTAATGTGATAAATGAAAGTGAATTCACATCCTTTAATACCAGTGCTCAGGAGGCAGAGGCAGGCAGATCTCTGTGAGATTGTGGCCAGCCTGGTCTTCATAGTCAGTTCTAGGTCAGCTGGGGCTATGGGAGACCTTGTCTTTTAAAAAAAGTGAACTCAGTCACAAGGGTGTGTTTGTTTGCATGTGTAATGTCTCCCTTTGCCCTCTTTTGTCACTAGAATTCATACAAATGGAGTGATGCACTATGCACACTCTGCCTGGCTCCTTCAAGCCACAAGACTTTCGTCCATTTTTTACTGGACATGATACACATGCAGTGAGTTTGAACACTGCAAGTGACTTTTGCTCCTCTCCATAGTCACTTTTCATTGCCGTGTGAAGATTGTATCAGTCGTTTCCCTTTCCCCCTTTGCTCTCTGTGGATTGACCTTCTCTGATTACTTAAATAATAATGGAATCATGTTATATGTAACTTTTGTCTCTGGTTTCTTTCACTTAGCATATTTTCAAGGTCCATACATGTTATTGCAGTGTATCAGACTTTCATTTCTTTTAACAGCTGTGTTACATTCCATTATGTAGGCATACCACATTGGTTTATCCATTCATTAACTAGTGGATATTTCTACTTTTTAGTCATCACTAATAATGTTGCTGTGAACATCAACGTGAACATTTTTGGTGGACATGGATGTTTAATTGTCTTACGTATACAATTAGAGAATACCTCTGAGCTTTTATCTCTTTGCTTCTTTGGGTAGCCTTTTCTTGGACTTGTGCCCCCCTTATTTGCAACTCCTATACCATTGAAAATAGTACCTTGTATTGAGGTATCCATTAAGGGGAATAGAAATTAATATAAATAGATACTAAAATATCCTTTAAAGTGATTGTCCAGGATATAATAGTTAAACCCTAAAGAAATGTATAAGAATCAGAATCATCTCAGAAGTGCATCATGAGTGGAATCTTTATAAGATAGCACAAAGAAAGAAATGGAACCTGGAATAAACCCTGCTTAACATAGTGCATTGTGCAAGGGAGAAAAACTCATGCTGACCCGAATGAAAGGAAACAGACGAGATGGATATGAAAAGGACCCCGCTCCTTTGACATTTTAAAATATTCTTCTATTGATTTTTTTGAGGCTCCAGCTTGCTTTACTACTGCTTACTGTACTGGATTGATCTGATCAGCATCTGGTTTATCAAGCTTATTTATAATCGGGCAGATCTAATTAATTAATCAGGCAGATCACTGCAGTCGCACCGTTGGCATAGTGGCTTATTTTGGAACTCAGATGCCAGCTAGATTCCCTTTAAGTCATCCATTTACACAGCTTTTTTAAAAAATAGCTTTTTACCTATTTCATTTCACTCTAAAATACTCACTTTTTCTAAGAGATGCCTGACACTGGTCAAAAGTTAGAGGAAATGATGTCTGTAGTTGACACCTGAGTTCTGCCCCTTGTCTGTCTGTGTCTTATCTAGTCTGTTACACTTGGTTCTGCTAAGGTAATATAGGCTCCACATGTGGCACATTGTCGCCTTTGTATTTGTTCAAATGCATGGCCTTGTGTGACTAGTTTAGCACATTCATTTTAATGATTACATCTTCATTTTAGTGCTCAAAAGACATGTGATTGCATCAGGCTCTGTAAGTGATGACAGTCTTGGTGATTTATATCCTGTCTATTAAGCGTAAATATTAATATTCTTCTGCTCTTTCCTTAGAACGCCTCAGTGGAATGAACTGCAGCCACCGTTTAATGCAAACCACCCTCTGCTCCTTGCAGCAGATGCCGTGCAGTATTACCAGTTCCTGCTTGCTGGCTGTGAGTAGTTCTCATTGGTTTCCCCTTCCATATGATCTTTGCAGATTCTGCTTACTCATAAAGCATATTTTCATATTTCCACACTATTAGTGGTTTGTATGCCATGGTTCTTAAATAATTAGATGAGGAGAGTGAAGATATTTAATACAAATATAGTCCACAAACCTTAGCATATAAGAAGGAGTGTCTCTGGCTGGTATTTGCCCCTCCCACGATTGTAGCTCTGCAACTGTCAGAAAAACAACCACAAAACAGAGCAAACCCCCACAACATGTGAACTAGGAGGATTAAAAAGCACTTTCAAAGAGCTTAAAACCTATTTCTAAAAGAAAAAATAACCCAAGCACTTTCCACCCTGAGGACACCCCTAGCAGGCTCTTTTGCTGTGTAGTTTTACTTAGAATAACAAAGTAGTGGTCTCACCTTCACTGGGGTTTTGTTTTCTTTGTTTTGTTTTTGTTTTTTGACATTTTGGTTGTTAGCGCTAACTTTAAGGTCTGCACCATCTCCAGCCCTTTTATTTTGTGTGTGTGTGTGTGTGTGTGTGTGTGTGATGCTGGGGACAGAACCCAGGGTGTTGCACGTGCTAGGCAAGTCTCTTTGACAAAATTTACTCTTTGTCCTGTTATTTTCTTGTCTAAATGCTAATATTATAGGTACTGAGCACAGTTCAACCAACCAGATATACAGCTTCTTCTTCTTCTTCTTCTTTTTTTTTTAATATGATAGGCATGAAAAGACAATTTAATATTTATTATCCAGTTTGTCTTCATAGAATTAAAAATGCTTTACAATTATAATTCAATTTTGTGGAATGGCCTGAATCCTAATTTAACTTGATGGCTCTGAGTTCTGCATGGTTTTTAGAAACTTCCTAAAAATCAGCATTGACGTGTTTCTAGCAGAGCTCGTTGTAAACCATACATTGTCTTATTTAGCAGTTATGGAGTTTGAGTTAAAATAGCTCTACAACTATTTTATTTCTTTTTATAATGTGTTACATATTATGCTGGAATCAGAAAAATTTTATAGACTTTCCTCTACAGTTATGAAATGCCACAACTAATAAATAGTTGGCAGTTTTGCTCTCTCGTGTAGTTGAACTCCGCTTCCTAGCATGTATTCATCAAGTGTCTACTATGTGTCAGGCACTTAGGATTTAAAGGGTGTTCGTATATCACATTGATCCTGGCCCCAAGGTATTCACTGTCTAACTGGGGAGAGAGACATTTAACATCTAAGCAAAAAACCCAATGGAATAAGTTCTCCAGTGGAGGGTTATGCATTGAACTAGAGAGCAGCCTTTGAACTTGCAAAGGCATCATGGGAGTGGTGGTGGGATGTAAATGGTTTTCAGATTTGCTCAGGGAACATAGTGCATAGATATTGTTATTTTCTACTTTTTTAAAAGTATATTATCAGATGATGTAGAAAAAAACCATGTCACATATGATACCAAAGGGAAACATGAACATGTTGTTACTGCCTCTTAAAAGAAATAACTGACTGTTGAATTAAATGTAGTTGACTTAGAGTGACTACTGGCTTTTTTTGTTTGTTTTGAATACCTGTTCTGTATAGTTGATAAATAGTAATAAATCTGAAATTTAAGAAGCTATAGAAAAATAAAGAATACACAACTGTATTTCTTCATGCTCACGTCAGTGCTTAAGCTGACTAATGCGACTTGAGTACCTCCTCTCGATACATTTGTCCATTTTAACAGAGTCCTAGGGGCGTAGCTGAACAACCACCACTGTTGGTGATGGCATGCCATCAGGCTTTTATGCACGGGATTGACACCATCAGAATTGCTGTGTGTGTGTGTGTGTGTGTGTGTGTGTGTGTGTGTGTGCATGTGTACATGTGGGGGGTTGAACATAAAGACTTGCATGTGGTAGGCAAGTGCTCTACAACTAAGTCTCACCCTCATCCACCCCCAGTGGCGTTTTAGAAAGCTCACTCTGCTGGCAGCAAATGCCTTTACCTATTGAGCGATCTCACTGGCCCTGCAAAGTCTGTCTGTCTGTCTGTCTGTCTGTCTGTCTGTCTCTCTGTCTCACACACACAGATATTTTATTGGGAATCCTGGACCTACTGATGTGTTACATGACTGAAGTTGTTAACTCTGCAAAATGCGATCATTGAGCTAGAAGAGCAGAAGTTTGAAGTACGGAAGGTAGAAGTAGAGCTGGCACACAGTTTAAACTGAGTTCTTTGACTTCCCCTCTGCCTGTCAGAACATCATTTAGAAGACTGTAGTTGTTTGTTTCTCCTCTAGTCTCCTCACTGAAGCCATTTGGAAGATGTCTTCTTCTTAACAGTTCAGTATTTCTGGTGCCATGGGTGTGTTTACTTTACTTTCCCATATTTAAAAATCACCTGTCAGCTAGGGGCACAGGTGCTCGTGGTAGAGCACTTGCCTCCCTTGTGCTATGCCTTGGGATTGAGCCCTAGCAGCAAGAGGGAAAGAGAACCACTCTTATGCCCCAACTTGAAGATGTGATAAATATCTTTTTACATGTATTTTCAATATGTTTTATGTTTTTATTTTATGTGTATGAGTGTATTGCCTGCATGTATGTAAGTGCACTCATGTCATGCAATGCTCGAGGATGTCAGAGGAGGGCATTGGATCCCCTGGAACTGGAGTCTTGGACAGCTGTTAGCTGCCATGTGGTGTCCTCTGCAAGAGCAGCTAATACACCCAACTGCTGAGCCATCTCTCCAGCCCCTTAAATGTACTTTCAAATGTAGTATCTAATGTGAACTTCACAAATGTAAAAATGTTGCAAGGTGGGTTGTTTTTTCTTCCTAGCCTTTGGATCTGTGGAAAAAGTAAAGCAGCCCTGTACAAACTCCGGAAATTATATAATAATAGGCAAAGAATGATGTAAATAGAAGTCGGAAAAGGATTTTGTCTCAAAGAGAAGAGAGTAGCCCTGCAGGATGTTAGCAAGAAGTCCCTACCATAATCATAATAAATACACTGTAGTTGATAAACAGTTCTCTTCTGTCTTTGTGGCAATGAGGTAGCTGGTGGGAGAGAAGAAGGACCCACCCAAAGCACTGAAGACCTTCATACCCACCTTTAAGGTGGAATAAGCCACCAAAGTCCGTGTTCCTTGCTATTGGGCATTTCCTTCCTATACTAATTCAGGAGGATTACCAAAATTGAGTGGCTTTGATAATGGAGGCCTCTGGGTGCCTGGTAGATGGATTGATGTTCGCATGGTCCATACAGATGTTGGAATAGAGGAGGAGATGACTTCACTATGTTGTTGTCTAATACCAATTTTGCATGGCTCAGTTGAGTAGACTATGTAATTTATATGTTGAAATTAAATATACAGATGGTAATCTAATCTTGGTATTTAGGTCACTAGAGGTAAAAGCCAAAAACATGTTTTCTTGGACATAGAATTATTGGGGAATTGTGTATTAAAATTTTTGCAAAGGAGATAGTAATTTTTGTTTATGTTTTTACTTCAAAATAAAAAAAACATACTTACCTTTTCTAACAAAAGCAACATTTCATTGTAATGTATTCCTTTGCCAAAAATGAAAGTAAACCTTACAGTAGACAGTAAATATTAATCAACTTTGAACACCATCCCAAGGGAAACAGTAACTTTTTCTTTACTCTGATCTTGACCTTCCAAATTATAAATTTAAATCAGGGCCTACTGAGTAGATTTGGGAAAGCTTTATTTAGAGCTTAATTTATTTTTCAAGTCATTTGGCCACAGCAATATTTTTAAGTTGCTGCTGTGGACTACACTTGCGGGGGAGTGTGTGTGCAGACTTTGGACTTCTTTCTAAAGTAATCCACAGGTATGTGATCCCATGTGAAGCCAGGCTTCACTGAAGAAATCACAAAGGAGATTAGAAAGTATTTGGAGCTCAGTGAAGTTGAAAACAGAACATATCCAAATCCTAGAATTTTGCATTTTTTTAAAGATTCCATATAGTAAGTTTGATAACTTTCAAGGAAATTATGCCAAATGAAAAAAACCAATCTCAAAATTTTGCATAGCTCATTAATGATTTCATTAATACATTGCTTCTCAAATTTCAAGAGAAGAGCTAGGTAATATATTAGAGGTGGCTAGTGCTTTGTTGCAGGGTATGAGAAGAAAACTGTATCTATAGAGCATCAGCAAAAGGCAGATCTTCGTGTTGATGAAGCAGTTTTGTATCTTGATTGTGGTGAAGATTACACATGGGATAAAGTTGAATAGACCCTCATATATATGATGTATTTATAAAGCTGCATGTATATTAATATAATTGCTGACCTCTGAATTGAGTTCTTTTGAGTCATATTGATGGCAGTGTCCTGGTTCAGCTCTGTGATGACACAGAGCATCCCTGCACTGTGGTCCCAGCATGTGTCAGCTGTACCACTCTGCTGCCTGCAGCATCACTGTCCTATCTTTAAACACAGTGTGACTCCATAATCATTTCCATAATCATGGTCCCAGCATGTGTCAGCTGTACCACTCTGCTGCCTGCAGCATCACTGTCCTATCTTTAAACACAGTGTGACTCCATAATCATTTCAAAATAAAAAATTTGAAGAAAAACATAAACAGCTGTGGGGTAGCACTAAATTAGTCCTGAAGGGGAATTTATGGAACTGAATACCTGTATTATAAAAGAGAAGGGTCTGAAATCCAAGACTTCAGCTCTTATACTGAGAAACCAGAGAAAAGTAAATTAGAGCAAAAGAATGGAAATGGAAAATAGTAAAATGCAAACCAGTGAAATTGAAGACATAGAAACACTAGAGGAAAAAAAAAAAAAACCAAGACAAAAAACCCCAAAACTGTAGTATAGTTTTCTTCTTAGGACTTGAGATTCTTGGATCTTCAGGTTTATAATTTCCATCAAGAATAACAATATTCACCTATTTTTGTCTTCAAATATTTTCTCTGCCTTTGCCTTCTCTCCTTTAGACGGCTTCACAGTTGCGTTGACTGCTTGTAACTGTCCTGAGT